ATATCCCATCGTCTCCTGGTCTCTGCCTCGACGAGGAAAAAGTTTCCAACAGTTTGTTCATTTACTGTACATGTACTCAATACTTGGTAGGGGCTCCTTTTGCTTTAATTACTGCCTCAATTCGGCGTGGCATGGAGGTGATCAGTTTGTGGCACTGCTGAGGTGGTATGGAAGCCCAGGTTTCTTTGACAGTGGCCTTCAGCTCATCTGCATTTTTTGGTCTCTTGTTTCTCATTTTCCTCTTGACAATACCCCATAGATTCTCTATGGGGTTCAGGTCTGGTGAGTTTGCTGGCCAGTCAAGCACACCAACACCATGGTCATTTAACCAACTTTTGTAGCCAAATTCCTTGACACGTCTTTGTGTGGTGGCTCTTGATGCCTTGACCCCAGCCTCAGTTCATTCCTTGTGAAGTTCACTCAAATTCTTGAATCGATTTTGCTTGACAATCCTCATAAGGCTGCGGTTCTCTCGGTTGGTTGTGCATCTTTTTCTTCCACACTTTTTCCTTCCACTCAACTTTCTGTTAACATGCTTGGATACAGCACTCTGTGAACAGCCAGCTTCTTTGGCAATGAATGTTTGTGGCTTACCCTCCTTGTGAAGGGTGTCAATGATTGTCTTCTGAACAACTGTCAGATCAGCAGTCTTCCCCATGATTGTGTAGCCTAGTGAACCAAACTGAGAGACCATTTTGAAGGCTCAGGAAACCTTTGCAGGTGTTTTGAGTTGATTAGCTGATTGGCATGTCACCATATTCTAATTTGTTGAGATAGTGAATTGGTGGGTTTTTGTTAAATGTGAGCCAAAATCATCACAATTAAAAGAACCAAAGACGTAAACTACTTTAGTCTGTGTGCATTGAATTTATTTAATACACGAGTTTCACAATTTGAGTTGAATTACTGAAATAAATTAACTTTTCCACGACATTCTAATTTATTGAGATGCACCTGTATTATACAAATCCCAGTATTTAGGTGTTTTTTGATATTGTATTTTGAGTTTTTAATTTTTTTAAAAAGATATATCTTATTAAAAAAATCGTTTAGTTTTCCATATATAATGAATGGTACATCATGCACTTAATGGAAAATAAAGAGATATTTCGGACACAGTTATGGTTTTTATATTCATTTTGAATAGCAAACTAGTAGACATATCTCAGTAAGAAAGTTTAAGACCAAATCAATTCAATAAACGCGTTGAGATTAGCTTTAGTGGTCAATAAACAAATACATGAGTGAATTAATTGAAGGATATCCTATTTCAGGTAAAAAATCCTAAATCCAGGTAAATCTACATACATTTTATTCTTTAGAGCCCAATTTATGTAGGAGCCACCCATTAATTGTCTTGCACAGAATTAAATCATCCAACAGCCCACTTTCTCATCCAGCCTGGGTTTGTTTGGATCTGATTCCACCAGAACACAAATATTCGACATTTTTGGATCGGAGCTGGAGAAATGAGCCTGAACAGTGTCACATATTATCTTCTGACGCAAGAAAAAAACATTTCTTTGAGAATTGATAAAACATTTTATTATGTACATGCTAAGGCACTCACTGTAGAACCGACCAACAGCTGATTGGTCAAACCAACACTTACAATAAAGCTAAATTACAAAGTCACTGAAAAAAGTATAAAAGGTTTTTGTGGAAAAACAAACAATGCAGAGGATTATTTCTAAGTTTAAAATATGGAGTTTGTATAAACAAACAAAATAAATACTTCAGAGCTATAATACAAAGCACCAACTGCAAAGAGATCAACAGTGTTGGACATCAGGTATCGAGACAGATGAAGGCAAAAGAACATAAATGGATAAAATACAAGACGTTTGTACAAGAAAAAATTTAAATCCCAAATTAACCGACAATACTGAGAAATACAGATACAGCTAGCTATAGCACTGGTCGCATGATCTTTTCACTTCCACCCCTTTGAGCATGTGACCAATAAACGTCACTAAAATAACATACATGAGCAAAACCAAATAATACAATTATACCTGCATCACTGTTAAACAAACAGTGTTGAACAAGTTATTGTACACCACATAAACAAGATGGAACAATCCATCAAATTTAACATCTAAAATGCACTATAAACATGACCATTTCAGAAAACAACACTGTTTTGAGAAAATACATGAAATGTTAAAGAGAAATATTACAATTAATTGAGAGGTGTAGATACCACACAACTGAATATAAAGCTGCACAGAGGATTTGCAGGATGGTCGCAAAACTGATTCGACCATTGGCAGGTTCACCAAAAACACACAAAATGAAAACATTTAAAAGATTACATTTGCTCAGTACATTGTGCCAGTAAATAACTTGATTAAAATAAAAATAATAAAATAAAATCACTAATATATGGAACCCACTGGGAGATTCTACTGCAAAAACGATGGTCACATGACTCTTGGTTGAGAAAACTACAGCTACAGAATATCTCTGTAATGTAAGAATCGATTCTTTATGAAAGCATGATGAGCATCATGAAAAAACATGATACATGATTCTTTGATTCGGTATAAATTGATTAAGTTTATACCAATCTCCCTGATATTCAGAAATCCTGGTGTATTAAAAAAAAAATCTGTCATGATTAACACGTGATGGTTTTTGGCTTTGCTATTGTTCTGTGACATAATTAATGTACTCGATCTCATTAGTCATTGAGCAGCACATAGGAAGAGTTTTTGGCTTTATACTGGGTCTGTAAGGAGACTGGGCGTCCTCACAGGTCAGAGACTCGCTCTCTCGCTGACCACATCCTGCAGGCGTTTGAGCAGCACGTCGTCGTTCTCTTGCCGCAGGCATTTAGATGGAGACTCGGTCTCATCACCTTCCATGTTGAACGCCCGCTTCTTGCTCACCCCACCCTGACGGATCATCTGGTTTATGTCGCTCAGCTCCTGAAGAGAAACAGGAAGCAGAAGACTTTTAGATCAACAACCATAACTGGCAAAACTCACAGTATGAGCTTCCAAATATAAAGACATAAAAATAAATTAACTTGTTTTTAATTTAAAGGGGTCATATGATGCTGCTAAAAAGAACATTATTTTGTGTATTTGGTGTAATGCAATGTGTTTATGCGGTTTAAGGTTCAAAAAACACATTATTTTCCACATACTGTACATTATTGTTGCTACTCTATGCCCCGCCTTTCTGAAACTCCGATTGGCCAGCTATCCAGTGCGTTGTGATTGGCCGAATGCCTCAAACATATATAATGTGACGAGTCGGCTGCCTCCCCCTAATTATCAGCATCACCCCATCCCTTAATCGCCGCCCTTCGCCAGGCTCCCGACATGAGTGGGTGCGAGAGGAGGGGCGCTGAATTAGCCAGGGCTGGCGGCGTGTGATGGGGCACACCTGAACCGAACGGAGCCTCATCGCCGCCGCTGTTTAAATGCCGAGCGCGCCTCTCCTCGGGAGACCGGTCTCTTCCTCGTGCATGCACGCTGGTGTCCTCGTGGGTCCAGGAGGGGTGCATAGAGGGACTCCCGTGCCGCCAGGGTCGTGAATGCTGGGCCGTCTAGTCCCTTCAAGCGCCGTGGGCAGAGAGAAGGACGAAGCCGCTGATAGAAGCCACCCCTCGCGCCCCGGACCAGAGAGGGGAGTGCGTGCGGCCGCCAGACTCCGCCCCTTACATGGACCCTTCCTTCCTTCCTGACCACTGCCCTTCCCTGCACGAACCCTGCATTTGTGATCAGAGAAACGACAAACAACAAGTGCTACTCTACACTGCCCAAAACTCATGTTTGAATCGTCAGTGGCAAATTCTTTAAATATAAATACGTACTTACAGGCTGTGAATCAGAAGCGCCAGACTGTCCTTGCAAAGTTGGAACTGCCCAACTTTATAGACAAAGCCTTTGTGCCACAGATGCATTGCAGGCTTCTGGTTACCAAGAGCTTGGAACACTCCAAAGAGAAAGGAAAAATTGAAATCGCATCATATGACCCCTTTAATAAAAATTTACTAATCAGTTATATTGACTATAATAATACCCAGTTGCACTGTATTTATTTCATTGTGTATGAACATTTTTTTCAAAATATCTTCTTTTGTGATCCACAGAAGATTAGGACGTGTCTGACATGTGGATGTGTAAATTATTACAATTTAAATGTTTTCATTAAATATCTCTTTAAAGGAATTATTACCGTTAATGCTTGTTGTGAAAACCTAAATTTTGACTAACCTTTGATGGGCTGCCAGTGAACTTGTACGTGTAGGCCGTACTGGGGGTGAGACCCGAGCCGTTTTTATGAGGAGAAACAAAGATGGAGTGTCTCTGAGATACACGGCGAGGAGAGAGAGGCTGAGCACGAACCGACGGAAACGGAGATAATGGAGGAGCCTCCATCTTTACAGAGAAACAGAGAGAAAGAGTCAAACACTTGTTTCCAAATGATCTAAAAATAAAAATCAACAGTTATTAAAAGACGATTTTCAAATAAATATCAACAGTTATTAAAAGACGATTTTCAAATGAAGTAAAGCAATACACTAACCTTGTTGTCAAGCATGGAATATGCATATTTAAGAGCGAATGATTTCATCTTTAGCACGTAAACAGAGTTGTAGAACTGGATGAGGTCTCCTCTTTCCTCTGATTCGCTTTCAGCCTCTGTTCTGTCAGCCTGCTCCGTCCTCTCATTGGCTGTGAACAGAAACAAATAAATAAAAATATTTTCAAATGCAATAAAAAGCCAGGATACTTTTGCCAACTTCATCAAAAATAAATGTATATACACACAACCCGTTTAAAAGTTTGGGATTGTTAACCTTATGCTTTTGAAACAAGTCTCTTATGCTCACCAAGGCTGCGTATAT